AGTCCGATACCGCCGCCACCCGCGCCACCAGATCCACCGCAGGAGATCCCTAAGAAGAGCAGCCCGACCACCGGCGAGAGAATCTTCAGCGCGCTCAAATCCGTCACCACGCAGAGTTACATAGATGCTTCGGAGTTTTATAAGTGAGTTATTATCGAAAAGTGACTAGTTTTATAAAAAATTTACGTTTTATATATATAGATATATATATATATATATATATATATATATATATATTTGTAATATTTTTAACATAAAATATATATTATAACATGTTATGTTTTATAATATTATTGTGGTTTAATTTTTTAAATTTTCCGAAAAATAAAATTTAAGTTGAATATTATTATTATATATTTTAATCTTATTTCTAGCTTTTTCCTTAATATCCTAATAGTTCTTATAGCCCTAACAACCCTACTTGCTGGCTGAACCAGCGGAGATTTGGAGAACGTATCCCTAATCGCGCACCCTACTCGCGTGCCCTAACCGCGCGCCCTACTCGCGTGCCCTACTCGCGAGCCCTAATCGCGTGATCCTAATCGGAACTTACGTACCTCTCGCTACGCATTTTGGTCAGTATTGGCCATTTATTTTGCGTAGCCTATATCCATTCTTCGGGCCAGTTGGACCTACCTTTCGTTGCTCCTGGTCATTTTCTGAATCAATCTCTCTAACCAAAGATCGAAAAGGGAGATACACACTCCTTTTATCGCCGGCTATTTATTATCACCGGCGAATAGTGAAGCGAGGGGGGGATTTAAGGCGGGAGGAGGCACGAACCAAGCATCCATCTCTTCCGTGGCAGCGGCACTGTCGTGTCTGTGTAGGGCGTTTACACACTTCCTCAGCCCGACAAATAATTGTTAGAAAACAACATTTGCGGGTCTGAAAAAATATGCGAGGTACAAGTGGCTGAATCGGGAATCGAACCCGAGTCTTTCGCTTTCCGGGCAACTGCTCTTACCACTGAGCTATTCAGACCTCGCACCTTACGCCACTCTAACACAGTACATACGACTCCAGAGCGATGTTGGAATCTCGCTCAATGGATGCAGTGCCGATTGTCACGGAAAGACGAAATCCCCAGCACGTCTCCAGAGCGGTCCAAATCATAACGATTGAAAATTGGCGCCCGTAGCCGCTCAGCGATGAGTCTTGACTCACCACCAGTATGAATGGAAGCCTCCTCGAGTAGTCCATCCTAAACCACTACGCCTAAGCAACCCCCTCTTCTGCTCCCAATTAATAATACGATCTTCCACCGTCACCACGTGGTGGATCTAGTGGATAGATTACCAGCACTTACGCTGGCACAGATGTACACCGCAGAGTGAAGCGAGGGGGGGATTTAAGGCAAGATTTTTCTTGCGCTCATAAGGAGATAAACTCCTTCTTTTGCCAAGTAATTATTGTCATCGGCAGATGAGCGTAAACATTTCACGCTCGATGACGACCGTGTGATTTTACGATCGTTCGTTAGACGTTTATTTTAATATAAGTATTTTAACTTTTGAGACAAAACCAAGTTATCAATCAAAATTTTGATTAAAAAATTGATAAATTATGATAAATATATAAATTTGATTAAAATTTATATATTAATATATAATTTATAACAAAATAAGATTAATTTATACAATATTTATGCTATTTATGCCATTTATTATCATATTACAGATAATTTAATTAATTCATCATTTGGTTTCTCTTATATTAGTTAAAACAAAGTTTAAAAACAATGTCTACAAACAAATTCTGCGATATGGATGAACTGTAAGAAATTAGGATAAGATCGGCACGCGTTATAAAAATAAATTACTATCACACGTAATTAATTATAAAATAATATAATTGATAAAATTACTAACGTTCTTTATTTAATAAATCAGATAAAATTTACAAAATGGAAAAAAATATTTTCTATAATCTTCCTTTTATAATTTAGATTTTAATTTATTTTTGCAATGGATGCAATGCATATCAAAAAAACTTATTAAAAGTTATTCAATCTGATCTATTTTAGCTCATCCATTTAAAAGTAACGGATTTATCTACAATCTGCAATCTACAATCTACATCTACAATCTCTACAAATCCGTTACTTTAAAATTAAATAAAAGATAATAAAAATTAAAACATTTATATTTTATTTTAAAAAATAATTTTTCGAAAATAATTTTAATGGATTAATGGTTTTTACAATTAAAATGACATCATATACGATATAATTCGAATAATTTATTTAGATAAGGAAACACATTTTTTATTTAATTTTTTAATTTGTATCGAATTAAAATTTATCCGAATAATGTCCCGTTTTTTTTTTCATTTTATTTGCAAAAGTCTTATTAATCAAATAAAATTACGTTCAAAAATATAAGAAATATAAAAATTTTATAAAAGTTTTTATATACGACGCGACGACGCGAAGACGCGACGACGCGACGACGCGACGACGCGAAAACGCGAAAACGCGACAACGCGACGCATCGTTGCTCATGCGGCACGATGATGGCAACGACGACGCACTAATGTGCGTTCAACGCACAAATGCGCGTGCCACATATGAGCCATTGTGCGACTCGTGGCAATGCTGTACTGACACGCGACGCGAAAGACGCGAAAGCATTACTACTTTTCTGTTCGAGTGTTGTCACGTGAATGACAATAACTATAATAAATATTATAGGAAAGGAATTTGTGACGTAGCGTCTCCCACTATTACAGTACTATTCAAGTTTCGCCGCGAATAATAACAAGACATAAACAATAGCGCGTTATTGTTTACGCCGCCAAGACCAAATACTATGTTATTGATAATTTACGGCCGAAAATATTTTGCGTACTATGACGTATATATAAGCGGTATATTAAATTATACAAATATTTTAAATTATCGATCAATTATTTAATAAACGATTAATATATCACAGAGCTTATGTTAATTATTCAGACCTGCGATTCGACTATTTTATTGCGCGTTTTCGATCCAAATCGTATGTAGATCGTCGAAAAGTCGAACGATAAAGCATTGGAAGAAATATATTTAATTTTAAGTATTTTTAAAGAAATAATTGTTGCCTACAGAGTGAGAGAGAGAGAGAGAGAGAGAGAGAGAGAGAGAGAGAGAGGGAGGGAGAGAGAGAGAGAGAGAGAGAGAGAGAGAGAGAGAGAGAGAGAGAGAATTAATTATTAATTATATCAGATTATTTCCCGATATTTGTCGCGATCGCATTTAGAAAAGAAATTTAACGGAGCGTCTCGAACTACTATATCACTGTTCAAGTGTTGCCGTGCGAATAATAACAAGGCCGTAATATGTAAACAATAGCGCGCTAATGTTTACGTCGCCAAGACCAAATACCATGTTATTGATAATTCGAAGCCGAAAATGTTTTGCGTACTATAACGTATATACAAGCGGAATATTAAATTATTAACATTAAAGTATTTTAAATCGTAGATCAATTATTTAATAAACGATTAATATATCATGGAGTTTATCGTTATGTTAATTATTTAGACCTGCAATTCGACTATTTTATTGCGTATTCTCAATCCGAATCATATTTAAATCATCAATGGGACAAAATATTTTTACTCTAAGTATCGATAGAAAAATAGTTATTATTCGTAAGGATTGTAACAAAACGATAATTTATAATTTAGATTTCTGTCACTTCGATTTTTACTTTAAGAGAGATTCTTTCTTATATTTTATTGGTTTGAGAAAAATTGTGATGGATTAATGAGATTTTTGCGATTAAAATATGACATCAAACACAACATAAATCAGATAATTTTTAGTTAAACTAATAATAAAAATTTTGATCACATATTTAACTAAAAATTATCCGGTTTATGTCGTGTTTAGTATCATTTTAATCACAAAAAATATCATTAATCCATTAAAATTATTTTTAAATAGGCATAATATAAAAGTTTTATTTTCTATGGTAATATAACACATATATACTCGTGAAATATTATACTTATATAAAGGAATAAGCCCCCCGCATATAAGAGATTTCGAAACTCTTTGACGATACTCATCTCGCTTGCTCTTTACTCATTCTCGTTCTCGCTTTCGATGACATCGGAGACCTTTACTTATCTATAATAATTTATCTATAATATTCAAAAAGCGTTTAGTGGATAAATGAGGGCGAAGAATCTTTTTCTTCGAGCGAAATTATAACTTCAAGCAGAGTGTATTTATTGCCATTCGTTTTTCCGTCTTTTTATTCAGAGTTTTGGGGAGCACCCCATGACATATAAGAGAAACTCTTAACATTTTTACATTGAAATCAATATAGCAAAACGCAAATTTTCATATGACATTTTGCGAAAATGCCTATCACCGGGCGATACTACAGGTTACTGCATTTTGAATTCTTTCGGTTATCATCAGACTGTATGCTATTTGAGTCACAATATTTGTCACGAGAGGGATGCTGCTAACATAGAAATCTTCGTAAGAACAGCACTTTTTAGTATTATTTCATCGATGGTTCGAATTGTACGTTAGCGTTTGTGATTTTGTCAATGATTTATAATTGTGGTGCAAATTATCTGAAAAAAAAATAGAAATGGGAAAGCCTCCTTTGCACACATTTTAACGTATGAATTTTAGGAAATACAAAAACGAAACTTCTTAAATTCAGCAACGAAAGGTATATCGCATTATCAGATATTACATGCTCTATTTTTGTAACCTAAAAGTACTTTTTACAAATGTCAATAATTGCGTTTTTGACATTATAATATTTTTTTAATTCAATTATGATACGTATCAAAAGATTTTACGTTTCATCAAAAATTACGTTATCACGATCTGCTTCTATATTGGTTAGCGTTTTTTTTTCCTGTTATAAATTTGCGGCAACTTTCTTGTTTATTTGTTATAAATATAACAAGTTTTTAAGTTTTATTCTGTGTTTTACTTAACATACAAGTTATGATCTTAATTATATTATTATATTAATTCATACAAACAAATTTAAGAAACATAATATAAGATGCTTTGTTTTTCTGTGAATGAAAGCCTTTATAGCGGCTTAATATGATTACATTACGTGGAAAACTGAAAAAGGACAATGATATAACGAATTCAAAGAATAACAATAGACGAGTTTCAATACGTGATAAATTATTGATCAAAGAGGTATCTATTTTAACGAGATTTAATATGTTTTATGTACTGATGTTAATACGATTTATATGGATTATTTTGCTTAGGTGCAAGAAATGGAACAAACATTGCCATTAACTTGTCAAGTCACATTCAAAGATCCACATTGTCTGCATGAATTTATACTGTTAATTATACCAGATGAAGGATATTGGAATGGTGGCCATTTCTATTTTCAAATTTATATAACAGAGGATTATAATATGACGGTAATTTTATGGTCTACAATTTTATGTGATATGGCAATATAAAATATAGATACTTTTGTATCTTTACCCACACATCTTTTAGCCACCAATAGTGAAGTGCTTAACAAAATTATGGCATCCTAATATAAGTGAGGATGGTGATGTATGTCTTTCCATTTTAAGACAAAGCAGCATTGATGGATTGGGATGGGCACCAACGCGCAAACTAAAAGATGTTGTATGGGGTTTGAATTCTCTCTTCACTGTGTGTATACAAGTATTTTCTGCTGCATTTAGTGCAGCGAATATATCAGCGAGATTATATTGCATATATTTTATATGATATTATGTTTCTTTCAGGATCTCTTAAATTTTGACGATCCTTTAAATAGGGATGCAGCAGATTTGTTTATTAAGGACAAAGAATCCTTTCGAAATAAAGTTAAAGATTATGTAATGCAATATGCAAAGAGATGATTTATATTGTAATATTTTAAGGCAAGACTAATTATGTACATTTATCGTATTGGTTTCATATATATATGTATATATATATATATATATATATATGTCTCTTTTTAGTGAATGAGTGAAGAACTTGCTCAAGTCTGCTTTAGATTGATATGATTTAACTCAGTTTTATATTTTGCTAGTCTTCTTTTGCCTGAAAGATATTACTGGGTCGAATTTTATATAATTAAATTTTTTTTTTCGGATTGTTATAGAGACGAATTATATTCATATATATTAATTATAATCTATATATATTATGTATGAAAAAATTGTAAATGTATGAAGAGGATAAAAATGCATCACGTGTACAATAATGTTTTTTTTCTCTATGAGACATAATATAATGTGAGATGTAATGTTCCATTGGGACATCTGTAAATAAAATGGGTGTTTAATAATATACTCAAGTCGCATTGTAATTTACATGTTCTTCATAAGAAAACATAAAGAAGGTGTCACACATGTATATTCGAAGTATCGAATGTTAAGTATCTTAAATAAATATAGAGAATACAGGGCTCTCCAGGGTTAATGCGCGCAATTATTTCATCAAATATTTATTTATAATTTTCATACAACGCATAATCGAAATTTTTTGCTAAATTTCAAAAAATTTGATTTGCACTTTGACTTGTTAAAATGTATAGGCAACAATTCCTTTGTGTTAGACTCGTCAAATTAACGGACGGTTGAGAAACTTGTCGTTTTACTTAAGTGCCGACAGAATTCGTTGGCGAAGCATCGACGATCGGTTGACACGACGATATATCTTTGCATATATAATTACAAGTTGTAACAAATAAATTATAATACAAGAAACGAGAATTTCTCGCGTTTCTCATCATTTCATCTCGCTATCCAGAGAAACAGGCACAAACGCGAAATGAATTGTGTTTGTATGGTGTATATGTGTCCATAAATATAAATAAAAAATCGCAGGGCCATCGTTAGAACGTGGTCCGTAGCTCTTCTTGTATACTGGTCGACCTAATAAGCTTCTGTTTCGAACCCAACAAACTCTCGCTCGCTAGGCTGTCATTCTCAGAAGCTAATTTCGATTTTTCTTCGTGATACCTCTCGTTATATTCCTTCAGCCTGTTGCCCAGGAACACAGCCCTCTCGCGTTTCTTAATCATATAATCTGTTGGTAATAGCCACCTATGTTCGTGACACTCCTCCGCCATTGGTCTTTTACTGAAAAAAATTAATGTAATGTATTATTAAAAAAAAAAATTCACACAAATTTTATATTTAATGTTAAATACGATTATCCCATTGCTATGAAGTTACACAACAAAGTTAAATAAATAATTATGTTAATCTTGTTAAAAATTCTATCTACTTAATTAATATCAAAAATCTATTATTATATATGATAAGAATTCTATATCAATCTGTGTTTGACGTCGAAAGTATAAATCACAGATGCAATGTATGTATAAAAGAGATATTTAGCGATGGATATAGTTAAACAAGAGTGGAAAGAAAAGATCGAAGATTCTTATAACGTCACTACCAACCTTGGCGCGCGTTTGAAGACCAGCATGAGAAATCGGGTAGCCTCCTGACTAAGCTCTTTGTAGAGATATTCAAATCTGTATCTGACGAAGGATATGTTCTGTCTGGTCTCGTCCGCGTCCTTCCCACGGAAGGGAGAGACTCCGGAGAGCAGTACGTAGGTCAACACGCCGACCATCCATATGTCTGTTTGCGGGTAGATCGGCTCGTCGTTGTAAAGCTCGGGCGATCTGTACTCGCGGTGACCCAATTGTTCAGGCACTATGGTGCCCAGTCGACTGACTCGATGTGCGGACCCCATATCGACCAGTTTCACTTGCACTGATCTCACGGATGACATGACGATGTTATCCGGCTGAATGTCCAGGTGACAGTAGCCGCGCCAGTGCAAGTACTGTAGACCGTCGAGAATCTGCGTGATGGCATTCGCCACGCAGTTCTCCGTGTACTCGTGCCGGCTGGAGAAGTACGTGAGTATGTCGGCGCCCTGGAGCTTCTCCATGACGAATACCGCAACCGGGGAACCGGAAGAAGCCTTGTAGGCCACCTCCAGCATGGCTATCCGTTCGTGTCGCAGCGAGCGTAGTGCTTCGTATTCTCGGTTCACTTGCTCTTCCGTCCTAGCGTTCAGCTCCAGGATCTTGGCGACGATCACGCAATCCGTACTCTTGTCCACGCCTTTTACTACGGCAGAGAATTGGCCGCGCGACAACTCAGAGATGAAGCTGTATTTGGTAGATAGTTGGTTAGATTCCATCGACCATTCGATTGGATGCTCTTCCACGGAGTAATCCATGTGCGGCTTATCTTCTTCTAGGACGATCTCCTGACCGGCTTCGGTCAACTCTTGAAGATGCCTCATTGCCCGTGTGATCTGCACCTTCGGGCAACCCGGCGGTCGCGTTTTAATCAGCTTCGATGGGATGCCCTTCTCGCTCCAGCCTATGCGATTTCGTGCCGCCAGACGGAAATTGTAGCTCGTGTCTTGTTTCAGGTCACGCACAAGGTAAAACTCGTGGTCGATATTGGAAGCAACATCTATCCAGGCAATCGAATCGCCTTCCTTGTACTGGAGATTGTAGCACAACACGGGCGAATTGCCATCGTATTTGGGTTGCTTCCATCGCAGAAGGACTTCGGTATCCGAAACATCAGAAGCCTGAAAAGTCCAAGACAATATTTGACAAAAGATGATAAATATTTGACAAAAAGATAGAGAAAAGCATCATTTGCATATATATTAGATCAATTTCTCGTTTACTTCACAAATCTCTTCAAAAATCGCTCAATTATTATACCTCCGGAGAGTCCGGACCAAAAGGCACCGTTGCCAGCAACACCCTCGTCCTAACAATCGTTTGTCCTATAGAGTTCCTCGCCACGACCTTGTATATTCCGATGTCGTGCTCCTTCGTAGGATTAAAACTGAGTATAGACCTCCCCTCGGCGTCCTCTGTCACTTTGATTCTGTTGTTCTCCTGGATGACTATGTCATTCTTAAACCATTGTATCAGTGGTTTCGGATTTCCCACTGCCAGACAAACGAGATGCGCCGGCTTTCCCTCCTCGATCGGACAGATCTGCGGCTTCTCGCGGAAGAACGGGGGCTGACCCTCTTTCTTTGATTCGATCATCGCCTCGGCTTCGGCATAACTATCCAATCGAGTGCCTAGCTCGTTCTTCAGACGTCTAAGCGTAAATGTATCCGCCGATCCATAACGGTTTATACGCGCCCTCCTCTCGTCGTCGATCTCCTCGTCCATAACGTCCGTGAATCGACGACGTTCCCGTATGATGGGTGTCTAAACGAAACCGAAAATTGAGGAAATAATTTCACAAAATGTGTAATGCAATAGATGTATCGTGCCAGACATAATTAAACTTTAAATTAGTATATTTTATTTCAATATTCTTTGTAGCTGCACGTACCCTCCAGTCAAAACCGTTGTCTTCGGCAATGGAACGCGAGAATCCGGGACTGCGATTACATGCGACTTTCATATATTCACGTAGTCGTACAGGGAAGTCGGTGTCTCGCAACTGAAGAAGATACGTGTCTGGACCATTTTGATAACTATAAAATATAATTTACAACATAAACTATATTATATCGTAGGAATCTGATGGAAAAGTTATGTAAAATTTCTATAATTTTATTTCAAAGAACAATACTAAATTCTTGTAGTAAGTCAGATATACATATATACTTTTCCTATAAATTTTATAAATATTATTTATTTATAAAGACAAAATTTGTGATATACAAGTCAGATATTTATTTTACTGATATCTCCTTACTGGCTTTCACTCGTGATAATCCCGATTTCCGTGTCGATCGGTTCTCTGGATGGTATTTGATTCTCCCATGTTCTGGGCGAACGTTTCTTCGACGGACTGTGACTCCTATCGAGGCTGGGTTCAGGTGTAAATCTATGTCCGGGTGGATATACCATTCGCGACGGATCCTCGAAGGCTGTCTCCAGTTTACGTCTGCGATACCACGTGCGGCATGAAGCATTACTGTACCAATCACTGTAAAAATATATCTCATTTACAATCAAACTCTTAATTATCCCTTTCTAAAAAAGAAACCTCGAACTCGAATATATCGAATAAATCGATATTAATTTTATAATATAAAAACATATTTCGTGAATCTTATTTTCATAGCATGTCTTGCAGATATATATATATATATATATATATCGTATATTTTTTTTTCTTTTAAAAATTATATTTTGATTAAACAAAATCACTTCATTATATAGATGAGATTGAAAATTATTTTTGCAAAATTAATATTATAATTTTTAGTGTATAATCAAAGATCGAGAGAAGAACATAATCTTTAGTTACCGATAAAGTTTGTAATAATTCTTCAAGTTCTCAGATGGTATCCTGTAGGGCTCCGGTGGCGGGTTATCAATATAATTGAGCCACGGGTGAGCCAAAGCGGCCTTAATGTCCAATCTGTTTTCGATATTGTACACCAGTAAACTGCGGACAAAGTCCTGCGCTTCATTCGAGATATTCTTCCATCGATCGTCAAAGTCCCATCTGCCTTCCCTGATCTTTTTCAACGTCTCTCTATCGTTTGCGCCTCTGAACGGTGAAATGCCCGATAGCAAGATGTAGGTAATTATACCGACGGACCACATATCTGCGGGATAGCTGACGCCCTCGTTATTAGTTACTTCCGGTGCGATATATTCCGGCATACCGTACGCCAAGGTCATCAGCCTTGTGTGCGAAATTTTGCGGGCGAGTCCGAAATCTCCGATCTTCAGATCATCTCCATTGGCGTGCGAGATTAATAGATCGCCGAGCTACGAAGAAAAAGCAAAACATGTTGAATTAAAAAAATATATTAATCATAATAGAACCAAAAATAAATAATTTATGAAATAAAATGTGAGAAATATTAATTATGTTTTTACATACATTACGTTATATCTTTTAATTCGTAAAAGTAGATAATTTTGTAGATTATATTATTAAATAAAATAATAGTAATATTTTTTCATTAATAAAATTATTAGTAAAAAGTAATGACTATTGATTAAATAGTCATTATGTAGAAATCTTAAATTTTATGTTTGCTTCAATGATATAAAGAGGAATCAATACAGATTATTGAATACATTTTCGTGTTCTTTTGAAAAAGACAATTTTTAAACAATGTACCGTTAGACCAAGATGCGCATAATAATTTCCGTGCATGTATTCCAATCCCCACAACAATTGACGTATATAACGAGCGATATCTATCTCGGTGTAGTATTCTTGTCTCGTGAGAGTATCCACCAATTCGCCACCAGCCGCTCTAAATTATCATCGTTAAGGATTCTCTGCTAGGCAATCGTGTTAATTCGTAATTTTGAATAATATATATTAAACAAATTATATATAGAATTAATTAGAATAATAATATCTTTTTTATCAATGAAATTAATATTAATTATAAAAAATAATTGGAAACCTAATGGCTATCTTTGTTAATAGCCATTACTGTGAAGAATTGAAAAAAATGGAGTTAACTTAAATAATAATTATTTATATTATGATTAATTCTATATACCAGTTAAAAAAATAAATATGCAAAAAATAATGAAGGATACAATTCCATGACGAGTGTGACCGAATCGTTAGTCTCGAAAGCGTCGTGCAGTCGCAACAATTTGCGGTGATGCAGATTGTTCATCGCTTCCATCTCGTTGTACATGAACGGCTTGAGATCACCGTGTCCGTGCATAATCTTAGAAGCAT